TCAAAAATGCTACTTAATTTTACTCAGGACGGCAAAAAAGTTAACATACTAAAAAAATTTTAAAAAGCAGAAAAAAAAAGTTAAAACATTATTTTAGAAACAAATTGTACCTGACTTTTTGTATTAAGAATGACATTGCTAAAAAAAAAAAAAAAAAAGAATGACATTGCTTTCTTCCAAGAACATATATAGCCTAGGGTTGACAGTTATGATCCCTTGCAAGATCATCAAGAGATCTAATATTGAGGTTGAGTCTGGAGATGTGACAATATTGCTGTACAGTTTAAAGAATGCATTTACTCGTTTGCTCATTGGCTATAATCACATATTCTAGCAGGAAAGAAAGTGAGAGGCCATTGGATCTACTGACTTCCTTTGCAGAAGTGGAGACTGATTTGCAGAGTTTGATATTGGAGCTGGAATCACAGTGCTAATAATGCAATGCAGTGGCTAAGTGCGGGTATTCCTTCTTTATTTTTCTTTCTGACCATGCTCCGCAGTGTGTTGGATCTTAGTTCCCTGACCAGGGATCGAACCCACACCCTCCACATTGAAAGCACAGAGTCTTAACCACTGAACACCAGGGAAGTCTTGTGGCTTTCTGACTTTTTAAAGTGCTCTTTTCCATCTTTATACCTGTACTCTTAAATATCCTCTGTCCATGGGATTTCCCAAACAAGAGTACTTCGATGGGCTGCCATTTTCTTCTCCAGGGGATCTTCCTGACCAAGGGATTGAACCTGAGTCTCCTGCATTGGCAGGCACTTACCACTTAGTCACCAGGGCAGCCTCATAAATGATTCATACAAAGCCCCTAACCAGGAAATATAACTGGGAAACTGGGTATTTCTCTTTGAATTGCTGAAAACTGCATCAGAACATATGAAAAATGCCATAAATATCAGAAATATATAATGTGTCCTCAAAAAGTTTTGCCCAAACGATAATTCTAGCATGCTTCATATACACAAGGTCAAATGTTTCTTTATTTGGAAGTGATTAGATTTTCCTAGATAATTAGTGTAGCTGAAACTTGGGTGATTCGGTTTCTGATTCTCTTGACAGTGGCATAATTCAAACTAAGATTATGTCATTTAGCTTTTATAATTGAAATAACCATTTCTTTGAGTGTTTTATGCCATAATGAGGAAAGATAACCTGTTATCCAAGTATCAACACTGACCCATCTTATCCCTGCCACATCATCCACTTTGACCCTGGAAGTGTATTTTTACACTAGTTGTCTGTAGGTGTGTGTAACATTCTGGAAGCTCAGAAAGTCTCCTATATAATCATAAAGTTTCAATACCACTATTAAAGATTCTATCTGTACCTGCTTCACTACTCTGGTAGGGTTACTTGTAGAGCATACGAGGATTTGAAAAACTTTCCTGGATATGGTGGGAGAAAATTTTGCAGTGGGGGGTGTGTATTAGTTGCTCGGTCATGTCTGACTCTTTGCGACCCCATGGGCTGTAGCCCGCCAGGCTCCTCTGCCCATGTGGTTTCCCAGGCAAGAATACTGGAGTGGGTGGCCATTCCCTTCTCCAGGGGATCTTTCTGACCCAGGGATCGAACCCTGGTCTCCTGCATTGTAGGTAGACGCTTTACCGTCTGAGCCTCCAGGGAAACCATGGTCGTGGGGGGAGGGGGGGAATAACTTGGCCATGTCTCTGATCATTGAGAGTAAGAGGATGGCCAGTGAGGGAAAAGGCAAGTCTCTATCCCGGAGAACCCTGAGGTTTGACCCTGATTTGGATTGCTATGATCGTCTAAGGTGATCCATCTGGTTTGTGGGTGGTGGTAACAGGAATTTCTGTCAGTGGTGATACCATTAATTGGGTAGCTCCCAGTCTTCAGCTAGTATTTTTAGGCTAAAAAGAATTGATAATCACTGACATAATTTTTTCTATTTAAAACAAAATGCCTAGAACTAACACAACACTGTAAATCAACTATATCCCAATATAAAATAAAAATTAAACATAAATTAAAAAAGGATTTGCATGTGTTTGACAAAAGAAACACAAACTGGCAAAAGAGCCAATGCTAAAAAAAACATTTTAAAAAGCACAGATAACTGTTATATCCACTTAACATTTCATTGATAAAATACTCTACACAGGTACTTTATAAAAATCAGAATGCCCTAACTATAACAAAAACAATTTAAAAATGAACGGATGCAGTTTATTTTAATATAGAATGCTTGCATACAAACGCGCGGGAACAGTGCTCCGCACACTTACCTGTGTGCACATCTCCTGGGATCTTGTGAAGAAGTAGGTTCTGGTTCATTAGGCGGTAGGTGTTTTGTTCTGTGCTCAGTGGTGTCTGACTCTTTTTGCGACCCCGTGGACCGTAGCTCACCAGGCTCCTCCGTCCATGGGCTTTTCCAGGCAGGAATACTGGAGTTGGTTGCCATTTCCTGCTCCAGGGGACCTGCCCGACCCAGGGGTCAGACCAGCAGCTCCTGTCTCCTGCACTGGCAGGCAGATTCTGGCCATCGTGCCCGAGAATTAGAATTTCTGGTAACTTCCTGGTTATGTCAGTGCTGCTGGCACCCGGCATACACTTGGAGTAGCTTGGCCCTAAAAGGTATAACCCAAAAGAGCTTATATCCTCAAATGCAGCCTGACACAGGCATGTCGAATTGGCAATTGAGTGATCAGGAGAGGCATTGCCATTGAATGTGATTTCTCAGGTAATTCATGAGCAAATCTTGCTGAAAAACCTGTTCCACTTCCCTTGATTTGCGCAGCTAGTTGCATTCTTGCCCAAATGCTTTGCGCTCATGTGTGAAACACAGCTGGGTTCTGGACTCAGATAATGATGGATGTGTTTTTCACCTCCAGGAATGCCTGGTGGGATGCTTGGCATTTTCGTGGCATGCAGGGCCCCTCTTTATATGCAAGGTTATGCCATGGATGGCAGAACGTTATTATCCTTGACTCCTGCCTACTATCAATAGCATACCCAATCCTGTGACAAACCCAAATCACTCCCACAAATTTCCCAAGCCCTGTGAGGCACAGAATGGGATTGCCAAAGAATGTGAATTGAGACGGAGTGCTGAGCTCAATCTGCTAATTAGTAACCACGGCAGAAACCCATTGTGAGGTTGGCCAAACACATCAAGGGCTAGCGGCCACAGCTGCTTGGAGACAGGTAAGTCTGGGTTCATTGTGATGTGCTGGTCCATTGCTTGTGACATCAGTACTATTTGGAACGCTGTTGGAGAAGGAGTGGGCCAGAACAGGAGATGCCTCTCAGTGTGAAAGCATCTGCTGCTTGGGTGTCTTGGTAAAATGCAGGTACCTGTGCGGCAGGTCTAGAGAGGGCCCAGAGAGTCTGTGTTTCCAACAAACTCTGAGGTGATGCCAAGCTGGCCGTTGGGGCGTGTTTGCTCCGCTCGCTCTGAACAGCGAAAGCTGTAGCACCTGACTTGCTGAGCCGGGGCTGTGGGTTGAAAAGAGTGCCCAGAACTGAGATGAACTGGGGGCAGCCGGAGTGGGCAACCATCATCCCGTGTTTCTATCCCCTCCAGAAACATTCCTGTTTTCTCACTCCTCCTTACTTCTCAAAGCAATGCCAACCAGCAGAGAACAGAGAGTTAGCTTGTTTGCAAAGGGCTCCTGGTTCCTCTCTGGAATGTGGAAGCAGCGGGTGACACTTTGTTTAAAGGTCATCTTTAGTTCTAAAAATACAGAATAAAGGGTACAGAGATTCTATTTATGTCATCCAAGGATTTAATTAGGTGTAAATGTCATACTGCTAATGGATACTTAAAAGCTAGATTTCCTGAAGATAACGTCCAATTCAAATAATTACTGATGATTGTGAATGTTCTCTAAAAATCTGTTAAGGGAAAGTGGTTATTTGGTTCTAGAGTCAGGAAGATGGATTACAACACGCGTGCTCTAAGCCTCTCCTCCTGTGCTCAGGGTGTGGCCAGCAGGTTACACCAGGCGCAAAATTTAAGGAGGCACCCGCTCTCTGGGTTGTGCAGGGCCTCCTTAGTTTTGGCCTTGGGTGCCTCACTTGCTCACCCTGATTCTGACTCTGCCAGTGGCCATGACAGACATGATGCTTGTGTTGAGAAATGCATGGTGGTTTTGTCAGCTACATCCTTCATACATGGATGAATCCATGTGTCTTTGGTTAATTACCTACTGTCTGGAATACTGTTCTTATTCATGCGTTCTGTGGTCGCTGCAATAAACCCCATACAAAGCCATGCTGGAAGACATAGAGATGGAAAAAAAAAACACCTCAACAATTCTTTAAACAAATTTCTCCTTCTCTGTATCTGACATTTTCCCTTGGGCTTCTTACAAATAGAATATTATTCTTACAAATAGAATATTATTTTACCATAGAGTTTTCATAGCTTATATATTTATTTTGAAAGTTAACCTAGGGCGAGAATCTCCAGGTTGAGTGGATAGAAATGGGCAAAACAAACCCCAAACAGAGCATCAACTCAAAACCACAAATCACACCCATTATCCCATGTGACATGTCGTCATGATTAAATTATGAAAAATGTGCTATTTTTGAAAGAGAATGAGATCCCAAAGGCCAAAAGTTCCACTTCCCTTGATTTGCGCAGCTAGTTGCATTCTTGCCCAAATGCTTTGCGCTCATGTGTGAAACACAGCTGGGTTCTGGACTCAGATAATGATGGATGTGTTTTTCACCTCCAGGAATGCCTGGTGGGATGCTTGGCATTTTCGTGGCATGCAGGGCCCCTCTTTATATGCAAGGTTATGCCATGGATGGCAGAACGTTATTATCCTTGACTCCTGCCTACTATCAATAGCATACCCAATCCTGTGACAAACCCAAATCACTCCCACAAATTTCCCAAGCCCTGTGGGGCACAGAATGGGATTGCCAAAGAATGTGAATCGAGACGGAGTGCTGAGCTCAATCTGCTAATTAGTAACCAGGGCAGAAACCCATTGTGAGGTTGGCCAAACACATCAAGGGCTAGCGGCCACAGCTGCTTGGAGACAGGTAAGTCTGGGTTCATTGTGATGTGCTGGTCCATTGCTTGTGACATCAGTACTATTTGGAACGCTGTTGGAGAAGGAGTGGGCCAGAACAGGAGATGCCTCTCAGTGTGAAAGCATCTGCTGCTTGGGTGTCTTGGTAAAATGCAGGTACCCGTGCGGCAGGTCTAGAGAGGGCCCAGAGAGTCTGTGTTTCCAACAAACTCTCAGGTGATGCCAAGCTGGCCGTTGGGGCGTGTTTGCTCCGCTCGCTCTGAACAGCGAAAGCTGTAGCACCTGACTTGCTGAGCCGGGGCTGTGGGTTGAAAAGAGTGCCCAGAACTGAGATGAACTGGGGGCAGCCAGAGTGGGCAACCATCATCCCGTGTTTCTATCCCCTCCAGAAACATTCCTGTTTTCTCACTCCTCCTTACTTCTCAAAGCAATGCCAACCAGCAGAGAACAGAGAGTTAGCTTGTTTGCAAAGGGCTCCTGGTTCCTCTCTGGAATGTGGAAGCAGCGGGTGACACTTTGTTTAAAGGTCATCTTTAGTTCTAAAAATACAGAATAAAGGGTACAGAGATTCTATTTATGTCATCCAAGGATTTAATTAGGTGTAAATGTCATACTGCTAATGGATACTTAAAAGCTAGATTTCCTGAAGATAACGTCCAATTCAAATAATTACTGATGATTGTGAATGTTCTCTAAAAATCTGTTAAGGGAAAGTGGTTATTTGGTTCTAGAGTCAGGAAGATGGATTACAACACGCGTGCTCTAAGCCTCTCCTCCTGTGCTCAGGGTGTGGCCAGCAGGTTACACCAGGCGCAAAATTTAAGGAGGCACCCGCTCTCTGGGTTGTGCAGGGCCTCCTTAGTTTTGGCCTTGGATGCCTCACTTGCTCACCCTGATTCTGACTCTGCCAGTGGCCATGACAGACATGATGCTTGTGTTGAGAAATGCATGGTGGTTTTGTCAGCTACATCCTTCATACATGGATGAATCCATGTGTCTTTGGTTAATTACCTACTGTCTGGAATACTGTTCTTATTCATGCGTTCTGTGGTCGCTGCAATAAACCCCATACAAAGCCATGCTGGAAGACATAGAGATGGAAAAAAAAAACACCTCAACAATTCTTTAAACAAATTTCTCCTTCTCTGTATCTGACATTTTCCCTTGGGCTTCTTACAAATAGAATATTATTCTTACAAATAGAATATTATTTTACCATAGAGTTTTCATAGCTTATATATTTATTTTGAAAGTTAACCTAGGGCGAGAATCTCCAGGTTGAGTGGATAGAAATGGGCAAAACAAACCCCAAACAGAGCATCAACTCAAAACCACAAATCACACCCATTATCCCATGTGACATGTCGTCATGATTAAATTATGAAAAATGTGCTATTTTTGAAAGAGAATGAGATCCCAAAGGCCAAAATCAACACTTGAAATCCTTTTCTTGGAAAAGGCCTTTTATAATATATTGTAGCTGATTTTCAATTGCTTTGTTTTAGATCTGCTGAATTAGAACCCCTATGAGTGAAGTGTGGATGTTAAATGCATAAGGTGGGCAAAGAACGGCTGGTGTCCCGGCAGGATTGAGAACAAGAGCTCTGGGATGTGTCTATTTTTAGGCTGGCAGAAAATGTCCACATTGTCAAAACAAAGTTTCATTTACTATGCTAACCTAAAGATATATTAATAGTGAAAGTCTTTTTTCATTTAATTTATGGAAAAATGACCTTATAATAGCAATAACAAAGATAAAACCAACAAATCCCATAACCCTGATAAATGACTCACTTGTTTTCATTTCCTCTCTTTGCAGCTGGTCTGTCCTCAGGTTTCAGAGGCGTGTGACCTTGGCGGTGACACAGGGTCCCGTACTCAAAAGACCCCCACAAGCTCCATAGCTGGTCATGCTTTATCCTTGTATGATTCTGCATGAAATTTTACACAGCTCTGAGTCCAGGGTTGATTTGAAGCTGTGTTCTCTCTTTACTTGAGAATATATGACAGGTATTTTTTCATGCCATTTTATGCTGTCATATCATCTTCGAGACTATTAGTTTTTATGGTTATATAATACTAAATTATATTTAGAATTAAGCTCACATTCCCTTACCTTAATTTTACCCATATTAGATTGCCTCTCGATTTTCATTAAAATGTAATTCTGTACCAATGAGAATCTCTGTGTATTCAGCTTTATCGTTTGAAAATTTTACTTGGGACAGTTTGTTTGAATAGGGACCCCTGGGCTGGGATGATTATACTTCTCAGCTTGCCTAGGACAGAGTTGGCTTATGCCTGATGTATTCATTAACTGCACCCCCTTTTGATCTGAGAAGGGCTCCCATGTGGGCTATAAATTTCATGGTTTTCTTGGCTATAGCTGGTATTACGCCTATTGAGCACTTTTAGAAGGGAGAACTGGTAAAATCAAATGGCAGTAATAAAGTATTTTATATAACATTGAGCATAACCACTTTAGAAAATACAATAAGGCGAAAAGAAAAGCTTCTTGGGCTTCCCTGATGGTTGAGTGGTAAAGAATCCGTCTGCCAATGCAGGAGACACGAGTTCAACGCCTGGTCCTGGAAGATCCCCATGTCGCAGAGCAGCTGAGGCCGTGCTCCACAGCTGCTGAGTCGGGGCTCCAGAGCCGCGACTTGCAACTCTCGAGACCGTGCGCAGTAGCTACTGAAGCCCCGGTGCTCTAGAGACTGCGCTCTGCGATGCCCACCCCAACTCGAGAAAGCCCATGCGCAGCAGCAAAGAGCTCAGCCGAAAATAAATAACCAGAAAACAAATAAACCTATACAAGAGAAAAGCTTATTTAGAAGGATTATCAAAATAGTTTTCAATTTTTCCACACAATCACGTAATTAAGAAGAATGGAACGAATTAAATGGCAATAATATTTAGAGGCGTTCTTAAAATTCTTAGCAGATGTGTGACTATTACTGTCCCATGGTGGTGAGAAATACCACTTAAAAATCAAGATGTTATGTTTATTTTTAAAATCCACAGATGATTTTGGTATTGGATTAAAATTTCATCAATTCTGATATGACCAATTTAAAATTGGTGATAATTTCAGGATGGACTTTAAGGTTTCTCTCTGCTTTATCAAGGAAAAATAGGACTTTGCTAAGTGAGGAATAGTATTTATACATAAGAATATAGGAAGAGATGGCTGTTCACGTTGGAGCGTAAAAACCTTAAAGAGCTTCAATAATTGTACTTAAATAACCAAAATGAAATGACTTGGTAAGCAGGGCTTTGTAGCTGGTTGGATTCATGCTTTGACTTGCTAATTCAAATAATTCTTATCTATTCATTAAATTCGAGTCTTTGCCAAGTATGATTAGTATCAATACATCTAGTTCCAATTAGTATATGAACATGACCTTGGCAAAGCCTCACTTCTTTAAAAGTAGTGCATCATCATTACATTAATTCTTCCCATTCCAGAAGACTTGTCCCTTGAATTTGTTCCAAATTTTTTTGCATTTTTCTAGAGGTTGTATTTTCAGGATAAAGGGAAAAAAAGCAAACCATGCAAATGTTCCTAAGACTTGAGTTTGGCTGTGACCTTGGTGAAACCAAAGTGCAGTCCAGGATTTACAGGGGAGGGAGCTTTGGACTGTCTCCTCCCTCTGGAAAAAAGACACATGGAGGTTGGGAGTGTTTGCCGGGGGTCATCTGTACTTGCCTGCAGTGTGAAGGCCACCGGGGAGATTGGAGAGGCTGCTCCCGGAAGATTCCAGAGCTTTGAGGGTTTGATGGAGTGCACACACTGCCAAGTCTGAGACAGCATTATTTTAATCTTATCTTCTACACCGATTAGCTCTGGGACCAAGAGCATGTTCATCTTCTCTGAGACTCCGTTTCATTGTGTTTTGGTAAACACATTTCTCCCCACAGTTCCTGGGTGGTAAGTTTAGATTGTGTCCTCAAAAGAGCAGGAAAAGGCAAGGGGTGCCTGGGAGGAGAGACAGCCAGGAAAAACCATGCAAGCTGGGGTTTTGTGTAATTCTCCTCGGGGAGAACTGATCCCCATGCTGGAGGCGAGGAGGCAGGCGACCTCTGGGCCGGCTTAGCCCCCTTGATCAGCGGGATCGGAGCGGATGACTGCTCCTCTCCCAGCGGGTCCCAGGTGCCCCTTCCTCCACTGTGTCCACCAGGAGTCTCCATTTCTTCTCTGTAAGCCGGTTCGTCAGTACTATTTTTCTAGGTTCCATATACATGCATTAATACCCAATATTTGTTTTTCTCGTTTTGATTTACTTCACTCTATCATCTGGAGGGGTGGGATGGGGTGGGAGGGCGGTGTGAAGGGGAGGGCTACATATGTCATTATGACTGACTTGCATTGATGAGGGTGGAGAACACTGCCGCATTGTAAAGCAATTATCCTCCAGTTAAAAAATAAATACAAGGAATTGATTAAATTATTTTTTTAAAAAAACAACACCACACAATAGTGGATGCTTGGCCATTTTGCCCTTGTCAGGGGCAGGTGACTTGTAGGTCAGGGCGTCAGAGGCTGTGACTTGGAGGTGATCGGTGAGAAGCAGTGGGGAGAGGGAGCACCCTCACTTTCTGAGGGCAGAAACCAGGAGAGAGGGGGCAGAGTGCCTCCAAGGAGGGGTCCATGTGGGCGATAAACTACTCCCGAGCCTGGATTTGCACCTTAGGCCTTGAGTGTTTGATTCAGTGGCCTCTGAAAAGCCCCTTTCATTCATGAAATCCTGCCTCTTTCCCCTTTGTTTATTGAGTGCTGACCAGGTGCTCGGAGTTTAGGGTGGGGATACTCACACCGTTGAGTGAAACTGTTAAGGCTGATTGATGACCCCGCCTGGTTAAGCTGGCCTTGTTCTGCAAGGGACAACCAAAGTCTTCTTCCTGGGAAGCAAGGCGCAGATGTCGTGGGCTCCTGGGTCTGGGGCTGGATCCGCTTTGCAAATCCAGCGCCCACCTTCAGAGCCCGCCTGCCCCGCTGCTCCTGTCCCACCCACACTGTGGGCTGCTCTGAGGGCCCTTTCTCGGGAAAGGGGACTGGAGGCCACCTACCCACACCCTCGTCCTTCTCGGCCGTCGTGCCACAGAACTCGCTTTGGTTTCCTTGGCGTGAGGGCAGCACTCTCCTTCAGCCGGTGCCTCATCCCGGCTGCTGTCAGCACCGCCTCCCGGGTCGAGGAGGCCTCGCTCCGCGCACCCAGGGTGTCTGACCCCACCCCGAAGTCTGGGGGTTGTTTCTTTGTCCACCACGGGCCTGACAGCCTCTGGCCGTTGACACCTGCCTGGAGGCGGGTGAAAACAGACACAGTGGGGTCAGGCAGGTAGTGAGCGGAAACACCAGGAATTCAAGCCCGGGTGAACTGACCCCAGCGTCTGTTCACAGCTGCCCGCTGTTGGTTATCTCAACAGCACTGTCTAGCGTCTAGCGCTGCGTGTTCTCGAGAAGATCCAGTTCAGCCCACACTGCATGGCTTTGTCTGCCGTCTGGTTTTCCTCCTGCCTCAGGAAGCTTTTAGAATCAGCAATATATTGCTAGGGTTCTAAATTCACACTGTGTCTTGAGTTAGGTCTTTTCCTCCACACTTTCAGTGAGTCAATCCTTTCAATTTTTTCAGTTCTTGAATTTTTTTAAAAATTCATTTCTAAGGCTGACTTTCCTGTTTATCCATCCTTTTTTAATGGAAAACGAAATCCTACATATTTGACCTTCTGGACCGATTCTCTGATTCTTTTCTCTCATGTCTTTCATCTTTCGGTCTTACTCTTTGGGGAATTTCCTCAATTTTCTTTCTGTGAACTTTTAGTTTGGGCAAATATTTAAATTTCAAGGAATCTTGCTTGTTTTATATCATCCTGCTTTCTTGAAAAATAGATTTAATATATTGTCAGATTTGCTCTCATGCCACCAATTAGAAAGTGTTGAAGTTCTCTTTCATTTCTAGCACCGCTTCTTCTTTTTTTAAAATGAAATTTTCTTTGTACATACTGGTCTTTCTCTTTCACATGGAAAACTTTTTATAAATACCTGGTGATTCCCAGTTGTATCTTTATATTTTAAAATGAGGTGCTGAAAGTTACTGGGGAGTTCTGTTGCCAAGTTGGAGCTTATTGATAGGTGTCTCTTATTGATAGGTGATGTAGTGGGAGCTGACCTGCCCTGGGACTCCCCAGATGTGGAAAGGTGGAGGCACTTTATATGTGTGTGTGTGTGTGTGTGTGTGTGTGTGTGTATAGTTAATAAATTTTTAATGTATCTTTACTTTTAGTTAATGACTCACATTTTCTCTAAAGTATTCAGCATCACTGTTTTTCTCCACTGCTTCTTTCTTTTTTAAAAAACATTTATTGGTATATTGTTGATTTATGATATTGTGTTAGCTTCCGGTTACAGAAAAGTGAGTCAGGTATACATTTACATGTATCCACGCTTTTTTAGATTCCTTTCCCGTTTGGTCATCATAGAGTGTTGAGTAGAGTTCCCTGTGTTATACAGAGGTTCTTATTAGTCATTTGTTTTTATAAACAGAGTTCCCTGTGTTCTGTATAGCAATATTCTATGATGACCTGTGTGGGAAGTGTTTATGTCAATCCTAGTCTCCCAGTTTGAGGCTCTTTATCTCATCCAAAGCAGAAGTTTCCGAGTTCTCGCCTGGGAGAGCCGATCCCTCTGTGAAGAATCCCACGTGAAGCTGCGGTACTTGTCACATCATGTATTGTCTGTTCTAGCCACTGTGGCTGAATAACAGCTGCCCCCAAAACTTAGTGGCTTAAAGCAATCCTTTGTTACCTCTGAGGGTTTCAGTGGGTCAGAAAGTTGGTGGCTGACTGGTGTTTGGGTTTGGGACTGCTCACAAGTTGGGGCCGCGGTCATCTGAAGGCTTGACTGGGGTTGGAGGATGCGCGTCCACGGGGACTCGCTCATATGCTGGAGAGTTGGTGCTGGAGCTGGTCTCACCACGCGGCCTGACCACAGAGCTGCTTGAGCACCCTCACGGCATGGCTTCTCCAGAGTGAGCCGCCCAGAGGACAAAGCGGGGGTGTGCAAAGCCTCTGAAGACCGAGCCTCAGACATCATCCCTTGGCACTTCTGCTGTATTCTGCTGGCCCCCAGAGAGCCATTCTCTGTTTAAGGTGATAGGAGACTAAGTGAACATCAGGAGGTAAGTATTGCTGGAGTCGGTCTTGCACGACGGGCACCATGCAGACTTCCCGCTTGTCTCCCTGAGTTCAGGGGTGTGTCTTACTCCCACTTTCTGATGGCAGTCTGTAATTCGGGGCCCCGGGGGCCCTGCAGGAAGACTGGCTGGGATTCCTCCTCCCGTCTCTCAGGGTTTTCTTGGAATCACCTGTCAGCCAGGAGATTCCCTCCTGTTCTTTTTCTGATGGTAGATGCACATGTTTTCCATCACTATCCTTAATGAGTTATTAGAAGGAAGGAGAGAGAAATGTATATGGTCAACTTGTCACTTTTAACTTGAAGCCAGAAACTGTGTTTCTAATACTGTTTCCAGAATGGGACATAATTTTATTTCATGGGCTGATTTTCTGATTGTCTCTATGAATAAATTACCTTCCCTAATACCTAAGAACAACCTGTTAGTCCAGTTGATATTAAAGGATTTTTTAAGAAGCTTCAGTTTGTCTATCAGACACAAATACTACTGGGTGCTGTAAGCTGCTCAACACAGATTTTTTTAGCCTTACTTTTATATTAATGTAAAATTAGCACTGCAATTTGCAGTAGGTTTCATGCCGTGGAGTTGACACTGTACTTCAGAAGGTAGAGGGAAAGATGA